ACTCCTACAGAGGGTTCCTGCGTGGGCAGGCATCAAAACACCAGCAAGGCTTTCAAGCAGGCTTAGATTAAAAGCCACTATTCCTTGCTATAGTATTGTGCCTTCGTTTAAGAAAAATACAACAAAAAGTAAATAATCTCCAAACTGCAAAAACCTGATTTTGCAAAACACGAGAGAGTTATTTTTCCACTGTCATTTGTCAAAGAACTTGACATCTGGCTGCCTTCCACTATGCAACAAAAGCTATGTTCAATTTTCATTTTATATACAATGCAACTAGCAGACACACCATCTACACACACACACACACACACACACACACACATACATACACACTATATATTGACAGGTAGCAATTGTATTACTTATGTAAACATTGCAAATACTCAAAAACAATATGGAGTTCCTCTTCACTGAAGCTCTGTTAAGTGACTGGGGCAGAAATATGTCCCGTGTTCCAGTACAATGCATCACCTGACATTAGACTGACTCTACTTAACCTTTACTCGGTGACTGGCACCCTGGACATATGTGCAGTGAGCATTAGTGCACTGCTAACGATGCCTTCACATGTGCATGCTAGGAATCTGCCTGGGTTCCAGCTCACTAAGTCCAGCTGCTCCCAGCTCACAGGGAGAAGATGCTGAATAAGCAGAGGGAGGGACCAGTTCCAGAGACCAATTCTTTCCTGTCCACTCAGAGGACTTATGTGGTCATCACCACAAGCTAGTAAACTGCACGATGAGCCTGCCCTTGGAAGAGTATTGGAAAAATAGATGTTAGATATGACCTTGGCTTCATGATATCAGAATCTGATAACCCAGCCCTGTGTCTATCTCTGGCTCCTCCTATGTCCTCTGGGATCTTACAGCAAGACGAGATGTTTGCTTGCCTTTCTTTTCTCTCACTGAGAAGGTAAGTATCAGAGAGAGAGAGAGAGAGAGAGAGAGAGAGAGAGAGAGAGAGAGAGAGAGAGAGAGAGAGAGAGAGAGCACTCTAGAGAACAGTAGGTAGCCATTTTAGAGACCTGGGTCAGGGGTTGTTCTACAACATCCTAGATGGTGCCTTAGTTTTCATGTCTGTAAATTAGATCAGAACCCTCCTCACTAAGATATTGTGGATTTAAATAAGATCGTGCCAGGAAAATGTACTTATATGATGTAGTACCCAGGGTTACCATTCAGAAATTGCTCGGGGCTGTTGCTGCCACTCGTATCTGAGCTGATGATGGAAAGGTTCATTCAGAACCGACAGGAGCTCCTCAGACTGAAGGAATAAGATTGTTCTACATAACCTTGATGATGAACTTGGTTTATGCTTGAAGGGAAAAAAAAAATCCAGACTCCCATTTACATTCCACAGTCGCAGCGTCTGTTGCCACTTCCAAGGCCCTGCATTTTGTTGTTTTGTGGGTGGTATTGGGGGCCAAAGCCAGGTCCTCTCCTGTGCCAGGTAAACATTTTATCGCTGAGCTACAAGCCCAGTTCAGGTCCCTGCATTTGTAATCTGCCCTGTTAGACTCTGGTGCTGTTTCTCAAACAAACTTAGAGAACAAACAAAACAAAACTATTTTCAGCTGTTGACCCTTTGAGTGGTTTTATGTGGAGCAGAATACAGGGGACAACTCATGTAAAAATATTCCCAATCAATTAACCTGTTTATGAAAAGGGATATGAGCAACCCCAGAAGTGCAATGCATATTTCCTCTTCCAACGAGAGGCTGGTTGCTTAAGACTGTGTTGCTCTGCAGTTGTGGAGATGCCTAAAGACACACATCTCACCAAGGCTTATTGGTTGATTACTGTCTCTACACTGTGAATAGTTGCTTTTCATTAACTGGAAGTCTGCAGAGATCCTGGGCTTGAAGACTTTCACAATTTACCGATGGGTGCTCAATGCTGCTGATGTGTCAGGAGCCCATTTCTTCCTATGCTAAGAGTGGGACCCATAACTGACTTCCTTTATCGACCTTCAAAATGCATGAGATGTCAAGCTACAGTCCTGAAGCCTGCCATAGGCACCTCGTTTCGTAGCTGGTAGCATGGAGCAGGTTCTGTGTGGGATCTCTCCTGTGGTTCCTGCCTCTGCCCAGAGTGATACAGACCTTCCTAGCTTCCGTAAGAGGCCCAAGTGAGGGCTGGTTTTCACCAACATTTCTGCCTCTTGGCTCCATGCCTTCCTCCTGTTACTCCTTTTCCTCAGATCCATTTCCAGTTTGCCCCACTGTTTGTGGCTCTGGCATCAGAGTCCGTTTGAAGCCATGGTTCCATGCCCCTGCAGCCGAAGAGATCTGGGGAGGGAGTGTAGTTCCCTCTCTTTTAGTAGGCATTGGGTCCGCTGCTTCCCAAACGAAGATGAGTTCCGAGCATACAGGTTGGCATAAGGTAATTAATGGCTTTGGTCATTTGTTTAGGACAGGAGTGGATGGTAAAAGAAGCCTAGAGGCACCTAGCCTCCTGCACTGCCCAGGCATTCCCATAATGCAGGGCTGCCCAATGCAGCCAGCATCGCCAGTGCATCTAGACTCTTCCAGACTTCCTGAGGCATTATTCTCCATACCACAAGCCTCTCCTCCCTATTTAATACTGGTCTCTAAGACCACAGTCTCCTCTTTTTAGAAGCTGTCTTCAGACTCATTTCTAGTTGAGACTTTAGTGAGGTCTTCATGGTAGGTGGTGTTAACTCAGGGTATACTCTCAGGAGCCAGTCTAGTCAGGATGCAGATGCTAAGCCCTCTTACTGATGACATTCATCACAATAGGCTCAGAATGGGCTTCCCAGAGCTGGAGAGATGGCTCAGCAGTTAAGAGCACTGGCTACTCCTTCAGAGGACCAGGGTTCAATTCCTAGCACTCCCACGGCAGCTCACAACTGTCTGTGATCCAGCTCACAGTGATTTGACACCCTCATACAGACATAAATGCAGGCAAAACACCAGTGCACACACACACACACACACACACACACACACACACACACACACACACACACACAAACTAAAAATGGGTTTACGGATGGCCATTTGGTAGCTGTATCTCAAGCCTGAAGTCCTGCTTGCTGGTGCTGCTCCCTCTACTCCCTGGTCTCTGATGTCTCGCCAAACTTCTCTGCTCTGCCTGCCCACCTGCTCACTCCTGGTGTAGCAGATGGTTTCAGTTGTTGAAATCTCACCAACGTTTTAGTTCTGACCTCTGGTCCCCAGCCCTACTGGTATGGTACCAGGTTCTTTCCCAGTGGAGCTTTGTCTGCCTGGCTTCCAAACCCTCATCTCCAGGTTGGGGTGAGAATTTCTGGTTCTGCTTGTTCAGGTGCCTCTGTACACGCCCAGTGTGGTGCTTCTTCTAGTCATGGGCTTCTAATTTTATTTTTTACAATGGAACGCAATCTTACAGCCCACCCCACTATCTCCTGTTCATGTCCTCTCTCTCTTTCTCTCTCTCTCTCCTTCTCTCCTCCCCCTCAATCTGTCTGTCTCTCTCAGTTTTTTGAGACAGTTTCTCTGTATACAGCCTTGGTGGTCCTGAAACTTGCTATATAGACCATGTTGGCCTCGAACCAACAAAGATCCACCTGCCTCCTCCTACCTCTGTGTCCTGAGTGCTGGGATTAAAGGCGAGTGCCACCATGCTGATGTTTTCTCTTCCACTTTCTTTTGTTCTTCCTCTTTTTTCAGTACTAGAAACCAAACACACAGCTTTGCATTCTATTTTCTTTAATTACATAAAAATTTAATCAGTGCATTATTTTGTTATTTAGAACAATAAACATCTCTGAGCCCTCCCAATGAAAAGCAGCCATTTTACTTGTACCACTTCTCACTCACCTTATCTCCTCCAATCTGGTGCACCATTCCAGAATTTGCCCACGCATTTACCTGTGACATATATAAGCATTGTTTAGAGACCTGGGAAAAACGAAGGAGGACAAATGGCTATATGTCAACAGCCATGCTGTCATCCTCCTCTCTGCTTGTGTTCCTAACCTGTGTCCCCTGACCGGCCTATCCCAGCTTCCCCACCCCTGTAGTCTGGGGCATTCCGCTGTTCTGTAGAACGGCTGCTTTTCCCCAGCGTTTATTGCACTGCTAGCAGCCTCCTTTCTAGCTCTGTTGGCTTCCTACCATCTCCTCTCCGTTCACATTCCCCCTGGGTTTCTATCTGGGGACAGAAATCACATGTTCAAATATTAGACCACAACACATAGGTGGACGACTCCAGTTCCCTCTGGGCACTTCAGAGCTATCCTTCCCCACATATTTAAAATGACTTGCGTCTCATCTCAACCCCTTCCCCACTCTTTTGGAAATATGGTCTCACTGTGTAGCCCCGGCTGGCCTGGAACTCACTCTCTAGACCAGGCTGGCTAAACTCAGAGATCCTGCCTGTTTCTGCCTTCTGAGTGCCGTGACCAGGGTGACAACTCAATCTTAGCAAATTTAGTGGAAGACATTTTACAGCAACCTTTCACAATTTAATAAAACTGGATGGTCAGTCTTCCAGCTTGAAGGCAGACACTGCCCTTTGTGGAAAAATCCCACTGAGAAGCAATAGCTGAAAACAGACTTTTGAGAAGCAATGAGTCATGGCCTAAATGAACAAATACATTAAATGATAAATCAAATTGAACACAAATGTCACTGAAACATCCATGCTGGTTTGAGGTCATTGTCTCTGTCTCTGGAATGTAGATGTTAGAGGGTCTCAGGACTACTGGGGTCACACACACATTTTCCCCTCCAGTTTTATTGTTTTCTTGGTGGTTCCTTTATCTTAAAAATGTGACCCACACCACACACACACACACACACACACACACACACACACACACACACACCATACTAGTCTAGGCCATTTTTTCCCTGTTTTAAATGGCTATAAACCTACCTTTTAAATAACCAACTAGGCTTTGTGGGCTTAACAGGGTAACATCTGTGCTGTTCCCTGATCAGCCAGGTGTGGCCCCTCTAAACAAGCTTGAGTTAGGCCTCCTGCCCCTTCCCATCTCCACTTACTTCCTTGGTTGGCAATACCAGCAGGCTCCTCTACCCTCCTGGGTCATCCAGACATGAACAACTGAAGACTATGGGAAAGCCACCTGGCTGTTGGTGACAGCCAGGATGAAGAAACAGGTAGGCTCTTGCCAGAAAGCTCTGAATTCTGAAGCTGGCTTTATCTCAGCCATTGGAACCTGGTCCACCTCAGCTTGGTACCAGGCACTATACTGGCAGCCATGGAAAGGGAGAGGGAACGAGGGTTACACAGTCTATCTAACCAGGGAGACTTGTTTGAAATACATGAAAAGTCAGTCAGTGCTAGAAATGAACAGTATATAACTTCCCTGTTTGAATGTGGACTGTCTGATAGGCCAGAATCCCCACCTCCGGTGGTTGTGTGCCTTCTTGGGACTTCACCTCTGGTCCCAGGGGAGCCTTTGCTCTAAGCCCATTTGGTGTTGCTTTTCCTTTCACAAAGCTTATTGCTGTTTTAATTACTTCTCTTGTTGCTGTGGCAAAAGTTGTGACATAGCAGTCAAAGGAAGGACAAACTTGCTTTGGCTCTCAATTTTGGAGGGTTCTGCTCATAGTCACTTGGCATCTTGATGTCAGGAGCATGTAGCAAATGAATTCCATGACCCCACAGGACACAGGATGCAGGCAGAGTGACAGGATGAAGCCAGGGACAATATTGTCTTGATCTATCCTTAGTGACCTACTTTTCCCAGCGAGGTCCCACCTCCTGAAGTTTCCAGTTCCTCCCCAAATAGCCCCACCAGCTGGACCAAACATTCAAGTGGTAAAGAGAGCATTTCAAATTCAAATCACAATGCTTGTCTTCTCATACAGGAAATTAACTTAAAAATTTCTGTTAATACTTAAAAGTTCATGAACACATAATAGAACATATAATACTTCAGTATTGAAGTTTAATCACTTATCAGTTAAGAAACTTACATATAGGACTGGAAAGATGGCTCAGTGGTTAAAAGCACTGACTGCTCTTCCAGGGGACCCAGGTTCAATCCCCAGCGCCTACATGGCATCTCACAACTGTCTGTAACTCCAGTTCCAGGGGATCCAACACCCCTTGCAAAACACCAATGCACATAAAATAAAAATAAATTTTTAAAAGAAACTTACATATAGACTATATTAAGAAACTCTCATATCCAATTAAAAATATAAATAACATGACTTTAAGATAGGTGAAAGATTTTAATAGATATTCTCCAAAGAAGACAAAAATACATGGTGAGTGCATGAAAAGATGCTCAACATTAGCTTCTAGGGAAATGCAAACAAAAACCACAAGATAACCACGTCAGAAGACTAGCATGTCTCACAGTCTCAGAGGGTTCAGACCACGGTCTCTTTGCCCTGTATACTAAAGCAGAACATCATAGTGGTAGAATTGGGTGGCAGAGAGCATTGGTCACCTCAGGGTGAATGGAGAGCAGAGATAGACAGGAAGAAACTAGAGACAAGATATCCCCAAATCCCTGCCCCAATGGCCCTTTTCCTCCAGCTAGGTTCCATCTCCTTAAGTTCAGAACCTTCCCCAAACAATCACTATCTGGGATCCAAGCGTTCAATGGTGGGGAGAGATGTCACATTCAGACCATGACATTATCTCTGCTCGTTCTCGTTCTCCAGGAAGCTTTGAGGTGCAAGCTGAGGGAGAAGCAGCCTTGTTTGAGTTAGTCTGTAGGGAGTCTCAAGAACTAATCTGGGAGAAAAGGAGAAACATGCACATAGCAGACTAGAGTCTTGCAGCTGAGCAAAGTGTGAGCGTGTCAGCTACCCTCCAGGTCATTAGTAGGAAACCTAGTCACCGTCAGTGTCAATAGCCAGGTTTCATTGTCCCTCCAATGTGTAGAAGGCTGTACTCTGAGACAAAGCCCTCTGGAGTCTGATGGAGGTCGGTGCATGTGTTGAGGAGTGGGAGGACTTGACCTTGTGCCTCCTAGGGAGTACTTATGAGATCATTCCTGCCTCCTTAATGTATGTCACAAACAGCACCTCGGCACCTCCCTCCCCCCACCCCCAGTTCATGATAACTCTTGCCTTTGAGTGGCTCTTCTCCCCAGGTCTCCTTTTAATGGGCAGGGTTGTGGATGTGGAGACATGAACCTGAACCCTGCAGGTACCAGGAGCAGACAGGTACCACAAGAAACACAGATGGAATTTCCCACTTGGTTACCCCAGAGCAAGCAGGCTGGTGAGACTGGCCAGCTGCAGGCAGCCAAATGTCCTTCTTCTCTGGAGGACTCAAGCTTTTAGCTCACGGATTCTGTCCAGCTGGAAGCGCAGGCCGGGATGAGACAGCAGAGCTTAGAGCCAAACCTTCTGAAAAACAATCTCTTAAAAGCAGACTAGGAGAGACACCCGGTCTGGGACCACAATGCATCTTGGGATTTCTGTGACTCTCATGCCACCCTGAGTCAGCTTGCTTGTCTATGAGCTTTGAGATGAGACTGAGGACAAATTGGACTCAGAAATGAGTTTTTCCTCTTTGAAGAATGAGTGCAAGTGTCCTTGCTGCCGGTGTGTCTGAGCCTCACTACTCCACCCCTTTATTCCACCCCTTGCTCATTCTCCAGTGTACTTTGCTTTATGAGAAACTGTCACAGTCTCAGCATGCCAAGGAGGGCCAGAAATAGGCTAGGATTTAGATGAGGTAGTAGTAGCATCGGGAACAGCTAGAGGCTACCTCCGTTGAAGGGGCAATGGCTACTCAGACCCACATCACTGCTGCCATGACTGTATTATCAGAAATCTGAAATTTCATTGGCTATTTCCTTTTTTGTTGTTGTTGTTTTTGTTTTTGTTTGTTTGTTTTTGTTTTTCAAGACAGGATTTCTTTGTCCTTGCTGTCCTGGGACTCACTCTGTAGACCAGGTTGGCCTCGAACTCACAGAGATCTTCCTGCCTCTGCCTCCCAAGTGCTGGGATTAAAGGCTTGAACCTTCACCACCTGGCGGCCACTTCCGTATTTTAAAGTAATGTGAGCAAAACCACAAAAGGTACTGTGGAAGAAGGCTTCTTCCTTTCCCTCTAAGACAGCGGCAGGTGAGCTTAGATGATACACAAGCACATGCAGGAGCTAGGCAGGCAACAGCGACACGTTTTCTCCTGAGGGTCAGCTGCTGGCAACACAGCCAGCTCTCTTATTTTGACTGCCCAGCTGGATAAGGTACTCAGATGGATTATGTCACAGGATTCTTGTCAGCCATGGTGGCTGCAAACTCTGAGTTTCTAAAGGTGAATGTTACCACAAGCCATTCCATCGTGGTGTTAAACGGCTAGTTTGCAGGGTTTGAGAGTCTTGAGTTCTTGCTGTAAGTGGAGATTCTACATATAAAGTCTTTAGCGATATCTTCATTGGGCCATTCCTTAAAGCTCTCAGAAGGAACCCTGACACTCAGTGGGTCACCAAAGCAGTCCACAAAGCACAGGCAGCACAGATGTGTGGGCTGACACCAGCAGGCAGCAAGAACCACGGGCAAGGAAAGGACCACAAGGTTCATCACAACGTTTATCACATAGTTGGTGGTTCTCGCCCTGCTGCGTGGAGACGTGGAGACTGCGCGATACTCTCTAGCACCATTGCCGCTAGCATAAGATGTTGGTAATGTTTGCAAACATTTACACCTAATAGAAGAAGAAGAAGAAAGAGAATGTAGGAGCCACACCTTGAAGACTTACAAGGTTACCAAATTGCAGTCTCGGCTGAAGACTGCAAACCCCAACAGCTGGGCTTCTGGAATCCAATTAATTAGATTTTAATTCTGTGCCAACTGTGGATCTTGAGTGAATTATCTAATCTTACCATCAGCAATTAAAAATTCACCCACCACCATCTTTTGAGAATTAAGCCTGCTTAACACAGTGCCAGACCTCTAGTAAATGCTCCGCAAGGATTAACCATTTCTACTCTATCTTGATTTCCTTTGGAAAAAAAGTTTCTTGCCTCAGAAAGCAGCGTTACAAAGACCCCTCGTGCTGAAAACTGCCCAGCAACAGGCCCCTCCACTAGGAGCTGTGGAGCCGCAAGCTCCAAGGAACACTGATTGCTTCCCCGCAGCTCACCGGAGGCCAGAAACACAGCCCCTCCCCCACTGGGCATGCCCAGAAACTATAGATCCGGCCTTAATTACCAGCAATTAAGTCGGCTTCAGCCTGCAAAGCAGGATCTGGTGCTGCCTGGTAGCCTCCCGAGGGCCTTTCCGGAACACGACGCAGGAGCCTTTCCTACCTCAGCCCCAATCATTTATTTAGTTTCCTTAAACTTCCCTGATGTCAGCTCAGGAAATCTGAGCTCTGTGGGAGGATGAGGGTGGAGGGTCCTGATTTGCAGCAGCATTCCGACCCAGCACTTTCCTAGTTCTTGGCATTTTGGAGGGCAAACCTGGGCTCCTAGGTTCTCTCTGCATAATGAGAGATGAAGGCCCTGGTTTGTCGGTACACTTTATTTGTGGGGAAAAATGTCTGCAAGAGGGAGTGTTCTTATAATTGTAAAGAAATGATACATTAAATTAAGTGGAAAAGATAACTGAGAATAGATAGATAAAGAGATGATAGATGATACATAGATAGATGATGCATAGGCAGATGATGTATATATGATTGACAGTTAAGTAGATATAGATGATAGATAGATGATACATAGATAGATAGATAGATGCTGATCTTCTAGTGTGGGAGAAAGACAGCGCAGCCATGGCAGAGGCTTTCATCAGTGCTTAAATGATTCAGTCAGAGAGAATACAAAGGCAGGACTGGAGGTACCCTCAGCATCTCTGGGTCTGAAGTAACGTGTGTACAGGCAAGAAGGAGGGATTGGAGTACATGAGAACAGTCTTTCTGTTTGACATCGAGTCTCCATCTCTGGCACAGGCTACTGGAACATCCAAGAAAGTCTTTTTCCTGGGCTTTTACTCACTCTGTGTGTCTCAAGGTAATTCTTGCCAGCCTCTGGGAGAATAGGCCAGTGGCCTGCACCTGCTCTTGGCTCTGGGACCCTAAGAGCAAATGACTCTTGGAGCAGCTGAGTTGCCTCCAACTGAGCCCTGAGGTGTCAATGAGCCTCTGCAAGGGCAGGCAGCAACTTTCTTGGTCTCTCTCTCTGTCTG